TATATATATATATATATATATATATATATATATATATTGTAAACCAACATTGGCTTTACAAAAGGTATTTATGAAAAAGAAATGAGTAATGTCGTTAGTGAAAGCATGCCCTTGGAGGATGACAGTTAAACAAGAACCAATAATATCGAAATTAAGAGAAACTTTCACCGTAGGTAAAAATGCCGATAAACAGAGATGTCTGGTGTGGTTTTCGTCGAAAAATCGTTTGATGAATCCTGCCGGTCGCATACGCGCGATTGTGTGCGCTTTTCTTTTTAGCCCGTCACTTCCTAACAAATATATCTCATCAAGCGTTCCACGCATACGTGAAGCTGCCATAGTTTTAGTTCATAAGAGGCAGACCAGCGTCGCTAGATCACAGTCAACTATCAAGATTCTCTGAAAACCGAACTCCTTTTCGTGGCGCGTCCGCTCGGTGGCGCCGAATACGCTGTCATTCCGGATGGACGGGCAGAAGCGACGGAACGGATGGAAATTTGAATGTGCATTGCCTGGGGTAAAAAGTAACCTTCTAGTGTTTTTTTTTTTTTTTTTGTCTGAACATAACGTTTGCGAAAAACTTTGACTAAAATGATTTTTCGCCGTCGGATATGGGAGGGGTGCCGCTGTTGGTGCTAGTGTCGCTATCCGCCCGTGCCTGCTCGCGTGCGCGGAACCAGGAAGTGCAGCTTTCGAACAACGCTCTTCTGCCGAGCTTATCAGCTGCTGAATCATAGAGCGTTGGGTGGCAATGCCCGAGATGGCTAGTGCCGTCTCATGCTCTGCACGCTGTTGTTGCTCGTTTAGAAAGGCGCACACGTTTAGAAAGGTGGACACGTTCTACTCAAGCTTCAGCGCCAGAAAGTTTTATAGAGTACACTTTACATGGCAACCTCAACTTATTATTATCCATGGCATGTCTTTTGTTGGAATTCTAGCTTATAATTTACTCTTAATATTCCTATGGTGCTCTTTCAAAGTTTTATAAGAGTTCGCCTCTAAGCAGAAGGTTTACACTCTCAGCTAGACTATAATTAGAGACATTCATTTCTGTGTTGGTAACATAAATCGTAACTCTTACACCGAAGACATGGCAATATAGATTGTCGGACAAAAGTAATTTAAATTTTCCGTCAAACTATATTCCTATACTTTTCTAAAATCGTCCCGTCCAATAAGAATACCTCAATTTGAGTTTTGGTTTGCTGAGAATAAATGAAAAAACTTCAGTGTACACGCAAGTTGCCAGGGTGCCGATACCTCGAGCACCCGTATAAAGAATGAGGTACACTAAGAGTGCATCAAAGTGTGCTTGGCATATAACACGTATGCTTAATACCCTAATATATATGCTTTAAATGTATATATGTGTTTCGTAAAGTGTTTTAATGTGCTGCTTTTTGCCAGGGTCCTTCTTTTCTGCCTTTCCGCAGTTGCTGGCTCTCAAGAGACGCCGGTGTCGTGTGGAGCTTCGCAGGACCGGTTGCTGTCATCATAATGGTAACTGGCAAAGCCCCTGATGTCATTTATTTGATTTCTCTAAATTTAACTATGTTCATATAATATTTTTGAATTGGCATCGGCAAAGGAATGTATGTACGCGTGCATGCTTCGCGATGAGAGCTTGAATGCCTATTCTAAATGCCTATACTAAATGAGGGTTCTCCAGTTATGTAGACTTAGTCGAAATGTGACTAAAGCTGTTTTTTTCAAGGTGAATATACGTTAGCATCTATATTCTACTCACTGAAAAATTATTACTCGTGTGCGAATGATTTTTGGCATAGAAGCGTATTTGCATAATACTTTTTTGTTATGTATGTAGTGTACTGAATATATTCGAGATGTTTAATTGTTTAATTTGTTTGGGCAGGGGGGATTCACTCAAGCTGATTTCGCAGCTTTTTTCCGCACTCTTCTGTCGCTTGGATTCAAAATAAATGTGTTATTATAAGCTGTGAGATGCTGATAGTGTCTGCTCTGATGTTAGAATGCTGGGATGCATGAATGTTATAGCTGTACATTTTTGTGAATGCTGCATGCATAATTTTGCTACGCTACATTTTTATTTGACATGTTTAAAGTTCGGTCCTATTGCTTGAAATTATATTAGTGCATCTGATACAGATTCAGTGCGTACAGTGATGCCCCGTGCGCATAGTTTGCGACAGATAGTTTGACCAACACATTTTTATGGCTATAAATGAGGTCCTCAAGTTTTATCCACCAGAAGGCTGCCATATTATCTAATGTTTTCTACACAATATTACACAGTTTTACAGATTACAAGTTTTTGTCCATACCGAATAATAATATAGCAGCTCCTCCTAATAGGAGCATTTTTACTTTTACATTCAGAATACATATGTGTAAACAATAATAGCATAAATCTAGATGTGTGTAAACTATTTCAGGCGTACAAAGTTCAGCTTTTCAGTTATGCCAGTTTTAAAGACAAGATTATGAGATTTGTTTTACTTGCTCAGGAGTGCGTTTCTGCTTCTGCTTGACTGTGAGCCTAATTTTTATGTGAATTTCATTATGTTTACTTGAGCATATTTACGATGTGTATTACTTTGGGCCAGATCGCAGACGGTTTTGTATGGGCACGGAATTGAATACTTGACGACGTAAGAGTCAGGCATTCGCTGATTTTCTTAGTATCAGGACAGCTGTCCTCTCTGGTCAACATCGGGACTTAGTTTCAAGAAGCTTCCATTGGGAGTTTCAGACTCGAGCTAAGACAACTTAATAAAATCAAACAGGCACGAACACAATCGGCACAAGAGTGGGACATATATAATTTTCCAGGGTTCAAATTTTCCAAAGCAATATTTACTAATTTGAATGCTTCCGGCCTCATGTTTTAGTTGTTCCTTTCACGGCGCAAAGTCTGATTGAACCTGGGCCACAAGGCATCCACTGGTGAAATAAATAAATGGAACATGAGAATATCCGGCTGTTTACGCATGATTTACCTAAATATAAACCAATTTGGCTTCGAATACTCGAAGAAGTAGCACATCGCGCAGCTTTGCACAAGTTATTTAATTTAAAAGTTAGGTTGGTAAGGTAAGAAAGTTCAAACAATGTCAGTGGACAGATTTAGGTTTTTGTTTTTTCAAAGAGTTTTTTACGTTCCTAATATATCACACCGAGATCAACTCACTTTTAAATTGGCTGAAAAAAAGCTTTACCTCCCAAGTATTCAGCATAAACTAAGAGACTCCAAGTTGTTGGAAGACCAAAAGAAATCATTCAAGCTTAGTTTATAAATTTTAGCGCCTTTTGTTGTCTGCTTATGGCAGCCGCAGCGTTAAATGGTGCATATGATGTCTCGAATAGCAGCCAGGCTTTTTTAAATTGATTGCAAAAATAGGGTTTTAAGCTATCGCGCTATGATTTCGTGCAGCGTTGCCCACAGATGGTGCATTATTTCTATAAAATTTGCAAAGAGCGAAATTAGATCAGGAAAAAGTCTCAACTCCTATAGAAACGAAGCGAAGCCACCTTTCTACAAACAATAGGGCGACTTATTGTTTGAAGACTGGTGGCTTCGCTGCGTTTCCCCTGGAGTTAAGCCTTTTTTTAACTTTTTTTTTCAGGTAAGTTCGCTCTTTGCAAATTTATTGAAATCATGCACAACCTGTGGGCAACACTGCACAAAATCCTAGCGCAATAGGTAAAGAAATCAATTTTTCAGGTCGTTTTAAAGAACCTGGTCGCTATTTGAGGCACCCCGTAGATAAAAGGCACGCTCATTTTCTGAATAAGTACTACTAAACTTAGAGGCGCTCTAACCTTGGTAACAGCAGTGAATATTGTAAAGCAAAAAAAAAAAAAAAAAAAAACTTTATCCTCATATTATTTTAAAAGGTAAAAACAGCGCAAAAAAACGACGGACAGGGTAAAGAAGGACACGGACAGAGCGCAGCGCTCTGTCCGTGTCCTTCTTTACCCTGTCCGTCGTTTTTTGCGCTGTTTTAACCTTTTAAGAATGTCATACCAACTCGCCCAGGCTTCAACTTTATCCTCATATAATTAGCGTTTTTTCTTATACTGTGTACAGTATTTGCAAGCTTAAAATTTTAAGAAGAAATGGAATCCTAATGTTTCGCTCTTTGACGCTTTCATAGAACGCAATTCGAACGTTGGCAATAAGCTTTAATGGCAAAAAAGGTTCCCCGCAAACTACATAACTCTTACGAGCCTGGGTTGATATCAGTGGAACATTAACAAGCTTTCGCATTCTGCACTAGTGCACTTTAGAAAATGGAAAATAAATATTATTTTTATTTTTCAAATCCTTAACGTCACATTGAAATCAGTTGCACCTGATTGCTGAGCCTCCAAAACTGCTTATTTCTCAATTAATTTCCAAGCGGTTATGGCGGTACAAGAAAGAGCTTGCAGACGCGACGCACGTGCCGAGGATTGCGTGTGGGGGCCCACATTGTTCGCAGAAGCGCATTCCTCTTGGCATTAGACGGTACCAAATCTTCCTTATAACACGGAAGGATTCCAAAATCACTTGACGTTAACACTGATCGAACAGGCTCTAGTGGTCTGCTGCCGCATTCAGATTGTAAAGGCATCCTGGTTTCGCCCTTGAAGTCGAGACTTGAAAACCATTAGAAAAATGTCAAGTGTATTAAGAAATGAGGCGAAAAATCATAGTCCAACTTGGGCTTTATTCAAACAAATGTGTCTTTTGATTGGATTTTTTTCATAAAAATTGCTTCGTCATGAATTGTTGAGTTTAAAACATTCTCAGACTGCAATTATGATGTATGAAAGCATTATTGTATTTCTTTTCGAAGATCAGTTAACCAAATTATTGATATTAAGTGATTGTTATAACACAATATTTGAAAATTGTATAGCGCTACAATGCTGACCCGAGATGAATTCTAGAAGGTTTCAGGATACGCCAAGTATTATTCTAAGGTTGCCATTGTTTAATTTTTCTTTCAGGTCAACGTGGCCGTACTGCTTTTTACAATCCGAACAACCTGTCGCTTGTCTAAGCAGCCTACCTCAGGCATCAGGCTGGAAACGGCAAGGTAAGGTGCTTTTCCACTATAATACACTCTTTTTGAAACATGTACGCTACAAAATGGTATGTCTGCATTTTAACTACAGCACAATATTTTACGGTTCTGAGAGCAGTAAAAGAGTTTACGCAAATATGAATTGATATTATTTTACTTAACAACTGCACTGATCGCACACACACAAAAAAAGATATTCGTCTACCTTATGTGTGATATCATAAAGTGCCAAAGTAAAACACGTGAACAAGCTTTTCGCTATTTATGCAGAAAATAAAATGGATCAACTCCACGTGCAGATTGAATGCATGAGAGTAGAACAAAATAATAAAGAATATTGCACTGAAGCAAACCCGCAATGGAGACTACAACTGCCAAACGAACCATCCATATATGCGAAGAGCCTCTAAAAAAAAACTGAAAGGATACGTGCGCAGAAAAACATTTTTTTTTTTCACATGCTATTTAAAAATACCAGTTCTACCTTTTGGTACACCAGATTTAGCATATATCGTGCCCTAGCAAAACAATTGCTTAAGCGTGGTAAACGATGTCATGTTGACGGTGTGGAAAATAGCTTGAATCGTTGACGCCAAATGTCCTGGAGGTTCGCTCTACTACTTAAACTACCATTACCGCGAAGCAAGTCAGGTCGTTTGTTTGTGTGATGATGTAGTGAATACTCTTACTTAACGTTCACCGCCTCTTGAGGTTTTGAATACTTTCGGCGACTATTTTAACAAGTGTTAATTTAGCTCCCACTAGTGGATTTAACCTGACGACGATAAAATAAGCTGCCATGACTGCTCGCCTTCCGTGGGAGTAAATAATGTTTAAATTGCGGAAGCCATTAGAAATTCAAAACAGAAGTTTTCGAGCGGTGTCGATGCTATACTTTGTTTTATTATCAAGTGATCGGGTGAATCGTTTATTCTTATTAAAACACAGATTTAATATTTCGCTTAGTACAGACGTGTTTTCATCGCTTACGTTCGCATTTTTAAGAGTGGTGATGCCTCGGTTGTTGCGAATTATCCACCTTGTTCCCTGCTTTGTGGGTCTTCGAAGGTCTTAGAGATTGTTGTAGATACTCGGTTGTTCTTTTATTTCCTCCAAAAGTCAACCCCGTTCCATTAGGGCTTCCTGACTGGTCGGTCTCTCTAATTCATGTACTTTTTTTTTTTAATTTTAGCACTCCAGTTGTTAAAAACAGGGGGCAGGTTGATCAAACCTGCATTGATATGACCAAAGCTTTTCTCAATGTTAGTCATATATTGCTCTTCCAATAATTGATTTTTATGGTTTATCTCGAGAGTTATCTACACGGCTTTAGAGTTACCTGTCACTGCGATCGAACTCTGTCCGTGTTGCTGACAGTTATTCCGATAGTTATTTTTCCACGTCTGGTGTTTAACAAGCATCAATCCTTGGACATCTTTTGTGTTTAATTTTTATAAATTATATATTGTCGTGTGCCCAAAGTGCTTAGTTGTTTTCTTTTTGCCGATGATATGAAGTTGTTTAAAATTATTCACTCTACTGCGGAATGTGTTAACCTACAGCTTGATCTGTCTTCTATTTATAATTGTGCGAACATAAATTTTATTGCTTAATCTTGCAAAAACAATGGGGAATATTTGTGCCGACGTCATGGGCCTTTCCACTTTGCGTATAATTTATTTGTCACGCCAATTCAACGTGTATTTTATGTGAAAGATCTTCGAGTGTTCTTTGATAGGGCCTTGTCTTTTAAAAATCATGAATAATTTGCAGACTTGGACGTAGTTCAACTACTCTACTCAAACTACTGTAGTTTAACTACTTTTCCGAGTAACTTGGTAACTTTCAATTACAACTTGATTTGGGTAATTAGTAGTTCAATTTAACTACTTTTTTTAGGTAACTTCTACTCAAATTACTAACTACTTTCGAAGTCTAGTGCTAATTTTGCTCATCACGAAAGTTTGAGCGCAGAAATAAATAAGACGCCGGCAGATGAAGTGGCATTCCCGAAAAAGGGGCCCGGCCCCTCACATTTCGTTCCCATGCACTTACACTCGGCAGCCATAGAAACTGCATCACATACGTCGTTGGGCCAAGGTGGCGACGAACAGCCAAAACATAACACCGGCGCGCACGAACGCAGAAAGAGGTGCTTAACAAGCCCTGAACAGGTATTGACCTAATCCGGTAATGCACGCAGGCGCCGCGTCTCCAGCTGCAACCATGAAAGACACTCCGAGGGTTGTTGTTGTTTTCGTGTTGTCTGCCTTTAGTGAGTTCTGCCTCAAGCGGCTTGGGGGTTCCACGGGAGGCGCCACTGGAATGACCTCGCAGCTGGGTGCCTGTTCCCATGGTTGCCTCGTCGTCAGTGCATACGCCTTTGCAAAGCCAGACTCCCCCGCACACAAACCCAGACACGGATAATCAGTTTATGGGAGCACGTTCCCGCTTCCAGCTGCAACTGTACGAGCGACGATGCTTGTTCACGTAATCCTTCGCGTCCTTCCGACCTTCCATGCCAGGGAGACCTCCTCTTTGTTGAAAACGATTTACATGTCGGGCATGTCAGGCGCGTCACGATACATAGTCGCCGGCGAGGATAGTGAGTTGCCCTTGGGAGATCCTTTTTTGGACCCGGCGTCAGCGGCGAAGTATACTTCGGTTCATCTTCTGTTAAACCAAAGCTTTTTCTTTTCAGTAGCATAGCACTAGCATTGCAACGAGACGCACAGTCGTCCGGATGATCTCATCGTCGTGGCGCGAGACTTGAACCCTTGACGGTCAGGTGCACTTGCTCAGCCTACTCTCAGAACGTCGAAGAAATTAAGAGGGGCCAGTCATAACAATCTCAACTTGCCAAAAAAAAGGAGGGGAGTTTTTTTATAAAAAAAAAAACCCTACTCGAGGTAAACCTCACATGTTTCGTCATGGACACCTAAGATTCCGACACTCGCTTACCCGACCCTGCACAACCTGTTTCTCAAACTCAACGCTGCCATTCCGTCCAGCGCGTCGGTGGAACGTCTTTTCAGCTTGACTGGGGACCTCTTTAGAAGGAAAAGTAGAAAATTCTCCGGGACGTCGTTAGAAGGAAACGTAGAAAATTCTCCTATCAAGAACTTTGAAGGTTCTTGATTGGATGCGAGAGAATAAACTATTTTGGTGAAATCGTAAGCCATAAGATGACTGCGTTTATTTCAGGCTCGCAGGGTTTTTCACGGATGAGAACTGCTGTTCATTCACGGATCAAAACTGCTGTTCAATATAAAAAAGTAACTTCGAAAGTAACTTCAAAGTAACTCGCTACTTTTTCCAGTAGTTAGTAGTTTACTCAATTACAATTGCAAATGCGTAATTTCTACTCTACTCCAATTACTTTTGGCGTCGAAACTCAGTAACTTAACTGAATTACCTTTTTTGAGTAATTTGTACATGTCTGATAATTTGTACCTCAATGCTTGTTACACATTTTCAAAACCTTAATTAGGTCTCAATTGGAATATGCTTCAATAATATGCAACTCAATATCTAAAACACAAGGCATGAACATCGAACATGTTCAGAAAAGTCTGATTCGTATCGCTTATGCTAGATATTTGGAAAGGCGTTTTTATTATGTTTATGAGTCTATACAAAAAGCATTTTAATGCGAGAGCAATAACAGTCCCATGGAGCGGAGCCGAGGACGTCTGTAACCGAGAACAATGTGAGGAGCCCGCGGCGTCTGCAACCGCAAAAAAACTGTAAAGAAATTCCCAGGAGCCGGCGGCTTCTGTAAGCAAGGAGAAACGCAAAAGAAACTCCCAGCGAAACGGCTCCTAGATGGCCATTGGCTGGGACGCGCTATGGCTCCAGGGATCTCACCCCACAGAGAAGCCCTCTTCCTGGCTCTCCGGCCCGCACGACAGGAAGGAGCGCGCTCGGCCGTCGTTCTCGTGTCAGCCGACGCCGGAAAAGGGGTGGGGGGGGGGGGGGGGGCGCTTCTGGTCAAGAGATCCACGAGTCAAAAGATCCAACGAGTCAAAAGGTCCAATAATGGATCTTTCGACTCGTTGGATCTTTTGACTCGTCAGACACGAGTCAAAAGATCCAATGTGGGTCAAGAGGTCCAACGATCAAGAGATCCAACGAGTCAAAAGGTGCACGGCGAGTCAAGAGATCCAACGAGTCAAAAGGTCCAACGAGTCAGAAGGTCCAATAATGGATCTTTTGACCCGTTGAATCTCTTGACTCGGACACCGCGAGTCAAGTGATCCAATGCGGGTCAAAAGGTCCAATTCCTCGAAAACTGCCGCGTCATATTGCAAGGGTGTCACGGAAAGCCCCTCATTACTTCTCCGCTAGTCGCGGGGAGGCGTTGTACAATGAAGATCAGAAAACTATTGTTGCCTAGCCTTAGTTCTTGTTTAAAAAAAAATTAAACAGATTTAAGTTTGACGCGCCGCTCAACTCCGCACCGTTTTCCGGTTTGCGGCCGGAAGACGGGTTCGAGGATTCCGAGTCAAGAGGGCCAACGCGTCAAAAGGTCCAACGAGTCAAGAGGTCCAATATTGGACCTCTTGACGCGTTGGACCTCCTGACGCGTTGGACCTCTTGACTCGCAGTGGATCTCTTGACTCGTTAGACCTCTTGACGCGTTGGACCTCTTGACCCATATTGGATCTCTTGACTCGTGCCTCGATCTGTCAAGAGGTCTAACGCGTCAAGAGGTCCAATATTCCCAGAGTTTTTATAATTATTATTATGTTGGATTGAGTTGGACAGGTCACGGATTTTGACGACGAATTTTGCCGACGGCTTTTTCGCTGACTCAACCAGGTAATGCTCGCGCATTAAAAAAGCAGACAACAGAGATGCTAACAATAAAGGCGGAGAAGAAAATGTCGAAAAGAGAGCAAAAAGTTGAGCTGTGAAGACTTCCACGCGGCAGGGGGGATCTCACGAACACAGCTTTGATACATCGTTTCTGGCCGGTTATGTAATCAGTGTCTGTGCGTATGACCCGTGAT